TGATTTAACGTACAGAAAACATCACTTTCAGCTAGCAAAACGGTGATATAACGAACAAACAATGGGGATATACACATATATATATATATATTTTGGGGATATGGCGATAGTTCACAGCAGGAATTCTGGGTGGAAAATTCTGTGGTACATGAAAAACAATTTCAGGACACAATTTCAGGGACGAAGCGACTCAGTCGATTTTCCCCAAGTTTTTTTTCACGCCCACCATGGCTATGGCTATGGCCATGGGATGTTAATGGTATACTAAGGGCTAGCGGCTATGGGAAATGATCGAAGTCAACGGGCCTCTGAGAGGCGATGGGAGTTGGCAATGTTCATGACCATTGCATCAAACTGCTCCAGAATGATACCTCGGCGACTGAGCCAACTTTCTGTTTTGAATATCGACCTGTAGAACATGTATGTTCGTAGTGGTTCATATCATTGCATCAATGGGAATTGTGTTTTTTCTATTTAAGGTATATCACCTAGAAACAACAAGAAATTTCATGAACGTTCTATTGACAACTTCCTACAGTAAGGGGTAATTCACCACGGTAAAACTTAGTCAAACCATATATTCCCAGTCATACTTGCTTGAAATAAGTGCCTGTATTTAATTAAATTGGATGTACTACCATACAACTATGTCCAGTAAGGTCTATGCAAGCCTTTAACTTGAGAGAATGTCTGAATGTCCACACAAGAAACTGCCCTATGACTTTTAACTCATACCTTACATGGCACGTTGTACGTCCAGTGAAGATACCTTTCCATGGGCCGTTGATTGGTGGCTGCTTCTGGCCCTGCTGCCTATTCTTATATGTTTGGGCATCCTTCCCCCCGAATATAAGATACCTTCCTAAAAATCCTGGTGCAGTCTCAGATTTACCATCTGGTTATTTAACATAGCCATGGGAAATGGCCCATCTGTAGATGGTTTACCTATTAAAAATGGTGATTTTTCATGGCTATGTTAAATAACCAGATGATATTCATTTTGGGGTCTCAAAAAAGTCTCAAAAAATGTATTTTCCTATGATCGGGGGATGGGATGTGTACGACAAAACAATGCCATCCTTGGTAACAGCGGACATCCCAAGTTGCTCATCCAATTGCTATTGCCAAAGCCCATGACTGCGGCATTGAAGAGGAACATCTCCTGCCGTTGTCACTTCAACTCGAGAATGAGGTTCTTCTTTTAGTTGGGTTTACATTGATTTCTAGCACTGTCTTTGGGTGAACCTCACGCTACATCCAAGCACAAGGGCGTACAGAAGCGCCCATGCGATCAGTTTGTGTGTGCATGCACATGCTGATCATAGGGTCATACTGAAATGGAAGTTTGGCCAAAGTGCCAAACTTATCTCATGGAACGGCAGATCCTTCACTACACATGGGTGTGACATTGGTATAGCATATTATACCATGGTTCAGCCTCCATATTTTTCCATTTTTATAAGTGAATTAGACTTAAACTCGTGGATTCCCATGATTTTCAGGTACCAGTCGCCCAGTCCTTGAAGGTGGTTGGGACCTTCATGTCTTTGCCAGTTCTCTCTTTCAAATTGATGCCTTAAATCATGGGGAAAGGGCAGAAATCAGAAGCCATCTCTCGAGTCAAGTCCACACGGGTCTCTCCAAAATGTGATTGTTTGGGAGATTTTTTGGGTACGTTTGAAAAACACACCATTTATTGGTGCAACTGCGATTTTTTCAGTTGCTCATTACCATACCATACCGTTACTTGTTGCCTACGTCTGTTTGACCATTATATATTTCTATTTCTTGCTTGGAATCCCCATGTTTTCTGGTCACAACCCCCAGATCTCCCATTTCTTTGATGGTTTCATTTCCATGTTTCTTCCCACGTACACATATATATATATACAGACACATGGCGGGCGAATGTATAGATATATCGATATTGACATATTTACATATAATTACATGTACATACACGTCATGTACTTTTATTTTAGAATATATATATATATACACACATTCGAGTAAATATACCTCCAAGAATCCAGCCCCGTTTCCACCGCGGTGATCGCCACGTTGCCATCACTGACCCGTCCCGTTTCGCTGGTGACCTCCAGATCTTTCGACGACGACTTCTTGGGTGTCACTGCTTCGGCCGCCTGTGGTATTTAAAAAAGAGGGTTTTGCAAAATGATGTTTCTTGGTTACCGGGGGGGCTAGCAATTCATATATATATATATATGATTGTATATAATATATAAATATAATGTATATATATATATAAATATAATGTATATATATATAATATAATAAATAAAATATAATAAATAATATATAATAAATAGTATATAATATATTTAATATGATATAATATATGATATATAATATATGATATATAATATATAATATATGATGTATACATGCAGTATTTTATATGCATACTGTATATGTATGAACAACTCATATCATATAATGTCATCATAATATGGCATGTCATATCATATCGTAGCATCAGCAAATCATCGTATTACATTGCGTCATATCACTCCGACATGACATTAGATTACATTGCATCAAATATAACATCATATTATCATATGATGTTTTATATATATATGATGCAATGTAATCATATGTGTAGATCTATCTATGTGTCTATGTGTCTATGTGTCTATGTGTCTATATGTCTATGTGTCTATGTGTCTATGTGTCTATGTGTCTATGTGTCTATGTGTCTATGTGTCTGTCTATCTATCTATCTATCTGTCTGTCTGTCTGTCTGTCTGTCTGTCTTGTTTATTCATCTATCTCTCTTTCTCTCTATCGGTCTGTCTCTCTATCTATCTATACCTATATCTATACCTATATCTAAACCTATATCTATACCTATATCTAAACCTATATCTATACCTATATCTATACCTATATCTATACCTATATCTATACCTATATCTATACCTATATCTATACCCATATCTATACCTATATCTATACCCACATCTACACCTATACCTATACCTATATTTCTGCATATATCTGGGTAAATTATTATAATTCACTAACCTGAAATAAGGCCATTTGGGGATGATTTCCCTTACTAACCATGATTCCAGTGAGGTCGCAGTGAGGTCGTTATTTTGCCCAGACATATATATATATATATGTATATATATATGTATATATATATATAACATAGACCCGGGCAAGCCGGCGGCGGAAGTTTCCCAAACATAAATGACCTATAGTTCAAAGACACCCTGTCCCGACCGTGTCCTTCCCTCGACACTCCACACCTCACACTGCACACTGCACACTGCACTCTTCGCACTCCAAACTTCAAACTTCACACTCCACACTTCAGACTCCACACTTCTCACTTCTCACTGCTTCCTTCACACTCCAAACCTCACACTTCACACTTCACACTTCACACTGCACACTTCACACTTCACAGTCCACACTTCACACTGCACACTTCACACTTCACAGTCCACACTTCACACTTCACACTTCACAGTCCACACTTCACACTTCACACTTCACAGTCCACACTTAACACTTCTCACTTCACAGTCCACACTTCTCACTTCGCATTTCACACTTCACACTCCACATTTCACACTTCTCACTTCTCACTGCTTCCTTCACACTCCAAACTTCACACTTCACACTTCACACTTCGCACTTCACACTTCTCACTTCTCACTGCTTCCTTCACACTCCTAACTTCACACTTCTCACTTCGCACTTCACACTCCACACTTCACACTCCACACTTCACACTTCTCACTTCTCACTTCTTCCTTCCCACTCCAAACTTCACACTCCAAACTTCACACTTCACACTTCTCACTTCGCACTTCACACTCCACACTTCACTCACACTTCACACTTCACAGTCCACACTTCACATTTCTCACTGCTTCCTTCACACTCCAAACCTCACACTTCACACTTCACACTTCACACTGCACACTTCACACTTCACAGTCCACACTTCACACTTCACACTTCTCACTTCACACTTCTCACTTCTCACTGCTTCCTTCACACTCCAAACTTCACACTTCTCACTTCGCACTTCACACTCCACACTTCACAGTCCACACTTCACACTTCTCACTTCTCACTGCTTCCCTCCCACTCCAAACTTCACACTCCAAACTTCACACTTCACACTTCTCACTTCGCACTTCACACTCCACACTTCACTCACACTTCACACTTCACAGTCCACACTTCACACTTCTCACTGCTTCCTTCACACTCCAAACCTCACACTTCACATTTCACACTTCACGCTGCGCTCTTCGCACTCCACACTTCACAGTCCACACTTCACACTTCTCACTTCACACTTCTCACTTCTCACTGCTTCCTTCACACTCCAAACTTCACACTTCTCACTTCGCACTTCACACTCCACACTTCACAGTCCACACTTCACACTTCTCACTTCTCACTGCTTCCTTCCCACTCCAAACTTCACACTCCAAACTTCACACTTCTCACTTCGCACTTCACACTCCACACTCCACTCACACTTCACACTTCACACTTCTCACTTCTCACTGCTTCCTTCACACTCCAAACCTCACACTTCACACTTCACACTGCGCTCTTCGCACTCCAAACTGAAACTTCACACTCCACACTTCACACTTCACACTCCACACTTCTCACTTCCCACTGCTTCCTGCACACTTCACACTTCACACTGCACTCTTCACGCCCCACACTTCACACTGCTCTAAACCTACGTGCAACAAAAAAACACTAGCGCCAAAATGGAGAAAATCTGCTGACAAATCACTGTGGCAGCCTTCATGCAGCCACTCCAATACGATTTACGAAGTCGAGCTGCAAAAGACAATAGTATGACAAATGCAGCCACAGCACGAAGCAACCTTGACGCAGCCATTACAATGCGATCTGCGGAGACTGAGTTGCAAAACACAATAGAACTACGCGCAACGGCGTCGGAAATTGTAGCTCCAAAACCGGATCTCGACGCCAGAGCGAAAAAAAAGACGATTTTGAAGCACTTTTTAAAAGGATTTTTAGAAGGAAAATCACTAGCGCCAAAATGGAGAAAATCTGCTGACAAATCACTGTCGCAGCCTTCATGCAGCCACTCCAATACGATTTACGAGATCGAGCTGCAAAAGACAATAGTATTACAAATGCAGCCACAGCACGAAGCAACCTTGACGCAGCCATTACAATGCGATCTGCAGAGACTGAGTTGCAAAACACAAAAGAACTACGCGCAACGGCGTCGGAAATTGTAGCTCCAAAACCGGATCTCGACGCCAGAGCGAAAAAAAGACGATTTTGAAGCACTTTTTAAAAGGATTTTTAGAAGGAAAATCACCAGCGCCAAAATGGAGAAAATCTGCTGACAAATCACTGTCGCAGCCTTCATGCAGCCACTCCAATATGATTTACGAAGTCGAGCTGCAAAAGACAATAGTATGACAAATGCAGCCACAGCACGAAGCAACCTTGACGCAGCCATTACAATGCGATCTGCAGAGACTGAGTTGCAAAACACAATAGAACTACCCGCAACGGCGTCAGAAATTGTAGCTCCAAAACCGGATCTCGACGCCAGAGCGAAAAAAAGACGATTTTGAAGCACTTTTTAAAAGGATTTTTAGAAGGAAAATCACTAGCGCCAAAATGGAAAAAATCTGCTAACAAATCCATGTCGCAGCCTTCATGCAGCCACTCCAATACGATTTACGAAGTCCAGCTGCAAAAGACAATAGTATTACGTATGCAGCCAAAGCAGGAAGCAACCTTGCAATCCCATTTACATTGCGGGAAGGATACTACAGTTGCAAATCACAATGGAATTCCATTGGCAACTCATCCCTCAGCGCCACTTGCAATCCCATTTACATTGCGGGAACGATCCTACAGTTGCAAATCACAATGGAATTCTGTCGACCGCACATGCACGAAAAACAGGTGAAACCCATTTACAATGCGGAACCGATCCGAGCATGATCCGCCCATGATCCGAGCATGATCCGACCACACACGAGACCGTCTCGCACCCGTCGCACCGCAGAGGTAGATCATCGAGGTTCGGGGACGCACTTTGTATGGAAAACATAGGGTTTCGTGCATCTGCTATCTCTCAAAAACGCATTTCGTGCGAGACTTCCTCCAAAACTCCATCGGCAACTCATCCACCAGCACCACTTGCAATCCCATTTACATTGCGGGAACGATCCTACAGTTGCAAATCACAATGGAATTCTGTCGACCACACATGCACGAAAAACAGTTGAAACCCCATTTACAATGCGGAACCGATCCGAGACCGATCCGAGACCAATCCGAGGATGATCCGAGGATGATCCGACCACACACGAGACCGTCTCGCACCCGTCGCACCGCATAGGTAGATCATCGAGGTTCGGGGACAGACTTTGTATGGAAAAACATAGGGTTTCGTGCATCTGCTATCTCTCAAAAACGCATTTCGTGCGAGACTTCCTTCCAAACTCCATCGGCAACTCCTCCACCAGCACCACTTGCAATGCCATTTACAGTGAGGGAACGATCCTAGAGTTTTAACTCTTTCTTTGACTAACTCTTTCCCTGACTAACTGTTTCTTTGACTAACTCTTTGTTTGACTAACTCTTTCCCTCACTAACTCTTTCTTTGACTAACTCTTTCCCTGACTCACTGTTTCTTTGACTAACTCTTTCTTTGACTAACTCTTTCTTTAACTAACTCTTTCCCTGACTAACTGTTTCTTTGACTAACTCTTTCTTTGACTAACTCTTTCTTTGCTAATTCTTTCCCTCACTAACTCTTTCTTTGACTAACTGTTTCTTTGCTAACTCTTTCCCTCACTAACTCTTTCTTTGACTAACTCTTTCCCTGACTAACTGTTTCTTTGACTAACTCTTTCTTTGACTAACTCTTTCTTTGACTAACTCTTTCCCTGACTAACTCTTTCTTTGACTAACTCTTTCTTTGACTAACTCTTTCCCTGACTAACTGTTTCTTTGACTAACTCTTTCTTTGACTAACGGTTTCTTTGCTAACTCTTTCCCTCACTAACTCTTTCTTTGACTAACTCTTTCCCTGACTAACTCTTTCTTTAACTAACTCTTTCCCTGACTAACTGTTTCTTTGACTAACTCTTTCTTTGACTAACTGTTTCTTTGCTAACTCTTTCCCTCACTAACTCTTTCTTTGACTAACTGTTTCTTTCGCTAACTCTTTCCCTCACTAACTCTTTCTTTGACTAACTCTTTCCCTGACTCACTGTTTCTTTGACTAACTCTTTCTTTGACTAACTCTTTCTTTAACTAACTCTTTCCCTGACTAACTGTTTCTTTGACTAACTCTTTCTTTGACTAACTGTTTCTTTGCTAACTCTTTCCCTCACTAACTCTTTCTTTGACTAACTGTTTCTTTGCTAACTCTTTCCCTCACTAACTCTTTCTTTGACTAACTCTTTCCCTGACTAACTGTTTCTTTGACTAACTCTTTCTTTGACTAACTCTTTCTTTGACTAACTCTTTCCCTGACTAACTCTTTCTTTGACTAACTCTTTCTTTGACTAACTCTTTCCCTGACATTCTAAAAGTCCGTAACACGGAAGTTTCTCCCCCTAAACTTCCTGTGATTATATATATATATATATGTATATCACTACATCTATATCTATATCTCTATATCTATCTCTATATCTATATCTCTATCTCTATATCTCTATCTCTTTATCTCTATCTATATATATACATATATCTTTATCTATATGATGTTCAGGAGTGGAAATTGGCACCGAGATCTTATTCTAATGAAGTCACCCAGATCGTGATCAGCTGCCCAATGGCCTGATTGAACGACTATTCACAGTGGTGCCCATTTTGAATTGTTCCGTAACTTGGGAGCCACATGAGCCTAGACAAACAATTCTGGATTTATGGATATATGATACATTCATATTGATTATGGAGATAGATAGTTCACAGGGCTTACAGATATGTATAGTCATTTAGACCCGTCATTCGGATGCCTCCTCTTCCTTCTCCTCTTCCTCTGCTTCCTCAGAAATGCTGAGCCACTTGATCAGCGGAAGATCTACAGGGGGCTCACCAATGTGAAGCAACAAATGGAGAGATAGGCAACAGAACCCAATAAATGAAAGGTGTTATTGTCCAAAAATACATCCCTATACCCTACGGTCAACCTCCGCATTGATTTCAAAACGTGTTAATCTGTGACAACTCATGTGACATTCACCAAAACATGGCAGAAACGCCGCAGTTCTACAGTCCCGGTGTGGGAGACACGAGCTCAGTTTTCCACCCAAAGTGGAGACGACCTCCTCAATATCAAGCATTTGAACCCCCTTCATCACCAGATCATCCAGAGATCTTATTTTATCTTATTTTGGTGGCCCACTAAAGAAGGTGGCCGACAATCGCTGTCGAGTTTCATCCTCCTCCGCTTCCGGATCCTTTTCTTTTTCCTCGGTGATGTTGTTGGCCGTTCGCCAACTGCGCAGAATGATCTTCACGCGCCCAGAATATTCGCGGCTCACGTAGCAGAGGGCACCTCCCAAGTAGTTCCTCAGACAGAAACAACGCCAAAACCATCCACATGTCATGTATGGGATATTGAAGTAGATTTTGGATGGGTTTGGGGATGATAAATAAAGCACACATTGTCACATGATTGACAAAACCTCATTCAATGCACAGTTCGAGTCGAGTAGTGAAGCCCCTTTCAAACATGTTTTCACATCGACTTGATCAAACCAACAGGTTGAGATCAGGTAAGGATGCTCTGTAGCTTCTTTTACATTAAGCAGCGCAATAAAAAATCATGCGACGCAATCATTTTAAATATGCATATTATGATTACAAATATAATATATATATATATATACATATAACATAGACGCTTATTTACTATACAGGAGTGTGCAATGAGAAAATGAAAATATCAGCAGGCTGGCTTTCCATTTTATCTATCGAGAAATATATTCAACCATTGAAACATGTGGCAAACTTAATCTAAAAATAGACTGAGTCCCTCATTTCCTGCTTTTGGGAGTTTCGATTTTTAGCAACTTATCCAAACTACTAGAGGAATTGGCCAAATCCCCGCCATTGGTCCTGATCCTTTTTTGGAATCACTATCATCATCTGCAATTTCTACATTACAAGTACCATACATGGATGTGGGTCAAAATGGAAGACCTAGGGGACCACAGATGTTAGTCTAGTTTAGTATTAACCATCCAATTATTGGGGTACCTAATTTTGACCATACCCACATACCCATTGGTAGTAAATACTATCATTATACTATCAAAACATTGGGACTTACATATAAGTACCATACACACTATCATCACATGGTTAGTAAACCGTTGCATAGTATACGATCGTTGGCTAGTAAACATACTATGAAACCATACTATCATCATATATACTATCAAAAAATACTAATGGTACAATGTTAATACATACCTTTTCCATCATTGGTTAGTAGTAAATATTCCCATCTGCAAAACAACGGGGCTCTCCCGTCCTATTCAGGTTGATCCAGAAAGGCATGGCATGTGAAATCCCACCAAGGAGACGCATACAAAAAAATACATTTAAAGACGTAACAAGAGTGACGATATTAGAAAATAGATCAAATAGGTTTAATCTATTATTCATAGATAATATTAAATAATTAGCTAATAATATTGACAGAATAGCCTCATCATAGATAATACATCATAGAATAGGTAATAGTGACAGTCGATCAACAGCCTTAGAATAGCTATAGAGTTTGTCATAGTTTGCTATTACATCTTTGGTAGATAATATTACATAATATTACATACAGTAATAGCCTTTGTCCATTCGACGTAGATATCAGCTATGAAAAATGGTCAATTGACAGATGAATCGCCTCCCAGTTCTCCGAGTTTCAGAAGAGCTTGCCAGCCCACCTTAGTCATGAGCCAGGCCAAAAGGATATGATTTCAAATCAAAGCAGATTACCATCCGATTTTGAAGTGTGAAATAGGGTAAAATTGACAAACACAGAGATGGGATTGGTCAAGAATATGAATGAAAATGAAGGGTTGAAGTAAACAATCTGGAAAAAATGATGGGGCCTCTCTCATAATATCAGGAATATAGGAGGTTCCACGGATTTCAACCATCCCAAATGGTAGGCGAATTTTTATTTGGTTTTACGACATTACAGTACAACATAAATATAGAATTTGGATGGTTTTGGATGATCTTGGAAGCGTTCTATCCTTTTTGCTAAGGTTTCTATGTCTTGTTCAGGTCTCTATTTTATGGAGGTGCACATGAAAAAACCATGTTTGAAAGATACCTGAAGAATCGCAAACTCTGACTGACTGTTCCATCATCTGTCCCGGGGAGTTTGTACCTTGGTAAGGCATGAGGACAGGTGATTCCATACCCAATTCCGTAGTCACTATAGTCATAAGGCACAGAATACTTCAAGTCATCTCAATTAAGCAGTGTCAAACGGTTGATTAAAGGGGATTCCAACAATCAATGATGATCATCTCCAATATTAATATAAATTATATATATATATGTATTAGGTAGTATTACCCCCTGTAGTGACTAATCACTAATCACCCGCCAACCAGCCCTCACTGTTCAATTCCATCCCCACTTTTGGTGGCTGAAACCCATAATTAATGGTTGAAATTGAAGCCTACAACCATCAACAAACTGGTTGTTTGTGAAAGTGCACAATTCCAATTTGATCAGTGTTCAATACTCTCTGTCAGGCCACTATTTCTGGGCTGGTTCAGAACGGAATTCCCAATTCAGAAATTATGATAAACCCCAGTATATGTATATAACTGTATATGTATATATATATGTATAATTGTATATACATAATTACAAAGAATAGTTCAACTTGGCAACAGCGTCTGCAAGAGGCCGTGTCGGTGACGACATCACACAGTGCCAGGGATGAGGGGAAGTGTCCGAAACTGTAGAAATTTATGTTTTCTTCTATTTATGGAATAAATGTCTGGTGCAAATCCCTTGGAAGGGTCACTTCAAAAGTGGAAAATTGGAGTTTTGTTCGTCGAGGGTTTCGCCGAAAAGTTCCTTTTTTCCTTTCAAGACAAAGTTGTCCGATGTTGTTCAGGACATTGCCGTTGACGCTCTTGCGCCAGACTGCAGCATACAAGTACTTCCAATTTGTTTGTCTCACTGTCTGTCTAAAGTCTGTGTTCCGGCCAAGTAGAACTCTTTTATTTGGGCTTTCTGCCCAAGTGCTTCACAGACTCACCGCGGTTGTGGGCAACGTTTTGCCGTTTGAGTTTGAGGCGTTTCTCTGGCACTTGTTGTTTGGAGGCTCCTTTCCAAGCTTTGCAACAATCAGCACGGCAAGCTGTTCTGGCTCACAGCATGATGTATGTGTGGAAGTGCAAGAGACCGTGGAGCAGCATAGCATGACATATGTGTGGAAGTGCAAAAGAACGTGCCGCAGCGTAGCATGACGTATGTGTGGAAGCGCAAGAGAATGTGCAGCAGCGTAGCATGACGTATGTGTGGAAGTGCAAAAGAACGTGCAGCAGCGTAGCATGACGTATGTGTGGAAGTGCAAGAGAACGTGCAGCAGTGTAGCATGACGTATGTGTGGAAATGCAAGAGAACGTACTATGTGGTTGCAGTCGCAATGAACGTTAACATTCCCACGCCACCCCACCCCACCCCCCCACCCCCACCCCCCCACCCGCCCCCAGACCCAAAATATCCACACGCGCATGGCCTCTTGCTGGTGTTGACACCTTAAACTTCATAGAATCAATCAACCATCACTTACCAGTTATATTCCCAATTTTGATGGTTCAAATGGTAAGCAATCCCTCCAAATGATGGTTAAATGCCCAATAAATCAGCAGTATAAATCATCTACACGGCACGGGGATTGAAATGTAATAAACCATAAGTATCCCCACTAAAAACCGCTGAAATCCATTGGTGAATCAACGTTGAATCCCCACCACCTTGCTTCCCAAGGCACTCGTGCGCGAGTATTGAAGTGCGCAGGTGTCAGTTCAGCCTCGAGCCTTGAACATTGGCAGCAGCAAAAATGCTGGATTTCACCAGCCACAATATGGTAAAATCCGATTGTTCAGCAACAAGAATTGTGATCCAAGCAGCAAATTCAGAGAGTTTAGCTTGCAAACATTGAGATTAAACTTTAAACTAACCTAGATGAAGTTTAAGTAACAAAGAGGTACACTTCACCAACAAAATTGGGGTTTGACATGGTTTGTCCAGCAAAAAAACAATAACTACCCAACAACAAATGTGGCTTTACCCATGAAAACTAAAAAGTGTTACCCGCTGGTAATTCAACAGTTGCTCTAAAAGCTGAGACCCAATTAGTTCGATGATTTACCTATTATCTCAGTGGTGATTTTCCACAGCGAACTATGATCCCTATGAAACTGGCCGCAAGGATATCTTCTATCCCA